CAGCAACATGGATGAACTTAGAGAAAATCATATTAAGTGAAATAAGCCAGGCACAGAAAGAGAAATACTGAATGTTCTCACTCATAAGTGGGAGCTAAAGTAATAAACATATAAATTAAGGAAAGAAAGAAATATACAACATTCACAATAAAACATTGAACTTTCAAAAAGACAACTGGGGTTACTAGAAGCGGGAAGGGAGCGGGGAGGGAGGAATGGGTAAAGGGCCTTGAATAGCAATGGTAGTGTATATTATTGAATATAATAATTATTCTAATGTGAGCATCACATATTGCACGTGGGTGTTGATATTCAACTCTGTACACCACAGATATGTACAATCAACTTTGTTACAATAAAAAGAAAAAAGAAAGCAGTGCCAAACATAAGCATAAAAAGTAACTATGCCCTTATGGGGCACTATAAAGAGGAACTTAACCTAAATGTAGGGCTTCTATGATAGAGGCTACCCTGAAATATAAATTTACCATGAAGTTTGTAGGTATTTCACAACCCAGCTAAGTTTTAAACTCAACAAATATGCTGCTTTGGAAAGATGTGTTCTATTTTTCAAATTGTTCAGTTTATTAATTACAATATTTTTACAGTTGTAGAAAGCAAGTAAACTTCCTTCTTTAATCTTCTATTTCAGAAGCTGAATAAGTCACAGTGATGGCAAAAATAATTTCTAGGAAAAATGCTCTAATTCAAAGTATCATTATTAATAAATATTTATATTTAATGTTAGCATGTTAATTCTTTTTAAATTGCTTAATCATATGCTTACACATGCTTTTACAAGTCTTTGAGCCTGTAATAAATGATACAGTTTAACCATTATGTTTCTGATTAAGTTTTGATGTAGGCAAAATGAAAATTGTTTGTTTAATATTAACTTTTAATATAATTCAACATTTGACGAGTTCAGAACCTAATTGCATTCTATAAACTTTTCAAACTAGGCTTTTCATGTTGTAAAGGATTTTAGAGTTGTTAATGACTCCATATATATGGAAAGAAATATAGATCTCATTAGCTGATACATAATTTGCAATTTGGGTAACATTTAGTTCTTGTTAGTGGAAAAGAACTAACAAGGAAGGAATAAATAACTGAGCAGCAGAAGAAACAAACTGTCCAATGAGAAGAAAACATTAAAATCACGTAATTAATTAAAAGAAACAATGTCCTGTACAGGAAAGTTTCCATGGTTGGGAGAAAGCTGGCTCTTTGATAAGGATAGAAAAAACTGGAAATAGGCTTTATTTACAGAATACCTAATAAATAAAATAGAAAAATTGAGTTAATAATTCAGACATTTTTCAAGCCCCAATTAGTTGTATATGGGTAGCCTGGGTGTTTGGGATCACATAGAAACACATATTATAAAATCTAGATTTACAATGGATGCATTAAAATGTGTTGAAAATTTAAATAAGGGCATAAGTGGTAACCCTGTCTGAGTTAATTAGGGCCACTGTAATAGACAATACAGTATCCCAGACAAACAATTCAAAAATAAAGAAATTTCTTGAATATTCTGAGGTAACATATTGTGGGGACATCAGATTGACAAAGGTTTCTAATCCTATCTCCTACGCTTTTTAGGCATACAACCCAACCTGGCTGAATTTTAGATTCTGTATTAGTACAATGAGAGAAATAATTCACTTCATAAAATTTTGAGAGGATTAAATTGACATAGTAAGCAAGAAATAAATGCTTGCAATATTCCCATAATTTTGTAGTTTTGTTCAGACACTGCAAAATAGCCTCAATGCTAATCCTTAAATTTAAAAAATAAGGTTTGCACCTTTTTTATATTTAGAGTTGTAGATTTTTAAATATTATATACTGTATATAAACATATTTTGTAGTTCATATTATTTAAAATTGTAGTTCAATATGTACATTCTGTTACATGCTGTGCATTCATTGAAATGTTCTTTCTTGTTGCTTGAACTACCCAGATCCATGGAAATTTTCTATTGTCATTGTGTTTTTATTCTAATGTTAAAAATGTATCTTTGTTTACTCAGACAAGAACTGCAACTAAAACTCTGTCCTAGTAAGCAGGAATTTATAAGTTTGGGGAAAAACACAGCACTGAAGGAAGGCACCTGTTTCATATCTGTTGAAAAAATGATCCCATTATTCTGCATGGGAAGAAAGTCAGGATTGAAAGCAAAAGGCCAGACACCTAAATATGTTTTCTTCTAGAATCTTTAGATAAGCAGCATTCATATTTAAATAAACTAGAAATTCTGTATATGTTGAATCACAGAAGTCACTATTTTTTATGGGAAAGACAGAGACTCTGATTTAGGGGCCCTACAGTTCGCATCCCAGCTTAGATTTAATTGTTAACTTCAATAAATTACTTAACTTATCTGAGTCTCATTTTCCTTATCCTTAATGCATGGATACTAATAGATACCTGAAATCATTGCTGTCAGGAGTCAGTTACTGCATGTAGTGCCTTTCAAAGAGTAGGTTCCCGTGAAAACAAAGTCATCATCACTACACAACCATTTTCTTTTATCAGTGAAGCTAATTCCAAGTGAATTACAACTGCTGTGATCTTATCCATATGTTTTCCTCAAATATCAGTACAAAGGCAAATTTGACAGAACAGAACAGTTCACTGTGTTCAGGTAAAAGGGAAGAAAGGGAAAAACATCCCATCAACTCAAGCATAACATGCCCAGGAAGGAAAAAGCATGCTCCAGCTATTCAACAGTTTATCTAAGAAACAAAAAGTTCCTCTACCCTATGTTCCAGTTCCTTAAAGGTTTACCTAAGAAATAAAAAATCCGAGTCAAAAAGGTTCAAAGAAATGTCCAATAAATGGTTGTGTCTGGAATAATGAGGTAGATTGAGCAGGTATTGTAGCAAGGTGGCCAAGACTCCAGGTTTGCCTAGACTGTAAGTTTCACATCTTGGAAACTCTCTCAGTCTCTGGCAAACCAGGTTAGTAGGTCACCCTAACCATAGGTCATAGGACATGTTCCAGGGTCATAAAATAGCAGCACTAGAATGAACCAGGGGAACCACCTAGTCTAACTTCTTCATTTCACAGATGGAAATTCAGATCCTAGGTATGGGCTAATGATGTCTCCATAAGGATAGCACTAACCCTGATGAGTGTTTCAGGTGACAGATGAAATCCCCTATTTGAATTCCAGATTTGAAAATGCCATCCAGGGGCCGGCCCGGTGGCGCACTGGATAAGTGCTCCGCTTGGGAAGCGCGGCAGCGCTCCCGCCCGAGGGTTCGGATCCGATCCCACATACAGACCGG